TTTTTTTTTATTCAAAAAAGTATAATAAATATTCTTGTTAAAGTTTCTTCTATAAAAAATGCGAATTACTGATACAAGTTTAAATTGATCCATTAGAATAATAGCAATAAAAAACAACAACCCTGATGAACATCTGTTAAGTAAATTTTATGAGTACTACTACAAAGATGCATTGCATTAGAAATAGAAGGAATGAACACATTTTATGTTTGATTGTAGATACGAGCAAATGACATTGAAAGAAAAAGAAAATATTCAAGTATAAGTAAGACTCGTATAATGAAAGAAAGTTTTTTTTTTTATTTAAAATAACATCTTAATTATCGAATGATAATCATCATATATACAAGCGTTTCATCTAACGAAATGATGAATGTTGTGTCATGTTAGTATTAAAGTTCCGATCGTTCTTCTTCTTTCTTTTTTTTTTTGATCATAATTTTTAGAGGTCAAATAGGTAGTAAATAAATACCATCGAAATGATGTGTGTCTCGGTTTTCTTTTTTCTGCTCTGTACTTTTTATTATTTCCCCCCTTCTCTTTACTTCGGCTTCAAGGTTCTACTATTTTTGTGACTGCTCGTAGTTTTTATATTGAACAAAAAAAAACGAAATTAGCTCTCATAATCATACGTATAATACTATGATTAATATATACAGATTTGAATATTGAAGATATAGAAGTGCTATTTTTATATAATATATGTAACTTAACTTGACACATAGAAGAACTAATCATTTATATAAGAACGCAAGAGGAAAAAAAATATATTTCTTTTCTTATTGTCTAATATATATAAAAAAAAATCCATCCGGAGTAATGTTTTTATTTTATAACTTTGAAATATACCATAGTTATATATCATAAGGTAGGATAAACTTATTTTCATTGATATGTCATCAATGATTAGTACGAAAAGAAAGTAGGTAATTATCGCAATTTCTTAAATACAGTAGGATGCCATGACATAGTCAAATAACTTACAGACTAAATTATTTATAATAAAAAAAGAGGAATTTATTTATATTCAAAAGTACTTGCTTGTGTATAAGGAATTTATTATTCAGTAATATGATATTTACACGTAGGTGATAGAAATTCGTAGACTAGTATTTGTTAGTTTTTAAAGGATTGTCAAATGAGATACGTTACTTTGTTTTTTATATTAATTATTTATAATTAATCAGAAGTAGACGAGATATTGAAACAGACTTCTCATAATAATTATCTACGAAAAACAAACTGATATTATTAGTTAATAAATATTCTATTCATACGATAATTTTCTAGATGATAATATGTTTATCTAATATTATTATTCATTAATAAAATGGATAAATCAACATTAAAATTTTCAAGTAAAATAGCTGTATTTATATTATGTATTCTTGGTTTAATTGAATTAGCATTAGCTTTATGGACTGTACTTGATAAACGATATAGAACTTTAGCGTATAATCTTGCTGATGTTGGTTATATTGTAAGTATAAAAATCAAATGTATTATTACTGAAAATATTTTTCTTCTTCATAGGATCTATGGATATTACGATATTTATCTTTATGTTTATTTGCATCATCGATTATAACATTATTTATGTGTTTAATATTAATATGGGGTTTATTTTCAGCACATGCATTTTTATTTATTGCATCAACAATGATTTTAATTATTTGTATTGGTGAACTGACCATTTCAATACTTACATTTGCAAGTAAATATGAAACAAGACTTACACTTATAGAACAATTACCAAAATTAGGTAAGAATCTAATTGATTGCAGGAAAAAGAAAAAGTTCCATTTTTTTTTCGTTTTTAGTAATCACTTATCGACAAGGTACTGATGAACGTGCTAAACGAGCTTTAGATATACTTCAAATGACATTTTATTGCTGTGGTGCAGAAGGACGATTATCATATCAAAATAATGTACCATTAAGTTGTAATATGTTTAGTGTTGGATGTCTTACACGTACAATATATTTTCTTGATTATTCTATGGATACATTAGCATATATATCATTATTTTTTAGTTTAATTAAACTTTTTATTGTTCTATTTTTTTATTCGTTTCTTTGTATACATTATCAAGATCGACGAAATCGTTTGAGATACAATTATCAACCATCAAATGAATCACAATTACGACATCAATCATCAAGTTATGATTCTTCATCTACAGAAAATTTACCAAAAAAATCTCGTATACCAACAACTATGACAGATCAAGATGATGATGATGATGATAAATTTCTTGAAAGACAACATGTTTCATCTAATACATATAGTTCTTCATCACCATCATCATCAAGTAAACGTATACAGAATGCATCTACTATAATCGTACCAGCATTAATGGATAATAATGATTTAATGGCATATTATGAAAAACAAAATGCATCCAGAAAATTATCTTCAATATCAGAAAAAACGGAAAAAACTGAAACGGATGATAGTGAATCAGATAATTTACGTCTTAAATATTATAAACAAAAACCAATTACATCAATTGATCATGATAAACAATATCGATCGACGCTACTAAGAAAACTACCTCCAATTACACCTCGACGAAAAATCCAACAAGACGACGATAATGATAATGATTCAGGTATATTAACAGTGGCCTTCAAGTTACCCTAGTAGAGTTTTTAATTGCGAATAAATTTTAATAGATAAGTTATCAAAGACTATCGAATCGAGTTGTTTCTTTTTAATCCGAAGCAGATAGAATTTCTCAATAATTTTGTGGGTTTTTTCTTCGTAGGTGTCGAACGTTCGTCATCAGAAAAATCTTTTGAAGATCACAGGAATCAAAAACAATATTTTGATAGTGTGGATATAACTCCAGAATATGAACAAACAAATAAGAATACCTCTTCTTTACTTAATTTTTCTAATATTTTTCTAACATCTACTTCTCAATTTGAATCTACAGATAATCAAATGAAACAACCTCTCAAAGCGACATCATCATTCGATCATTTACTACGAAATGATATTATAACACCAAAACCAATTTTAAAAAAATCTTCTCAGCAAAGATCACCAACTCGAATTCTACCAAATAATCATAATCAAAAACAAGTTTCATCAATGTATACAAAAACAACTTCTTTATTAAAAAATAATCGAAAATTAAAACCAAAATCATATTTAAAACAAAATGAAAATCTTATTTAAAATAATAGATTAATTTTTGTTTTGTAATTCTTTCAATTGTCTATAATCTTCTTTTAATTTTTGTACAATTAAATATTTTTTTTCTTTTTCTATATGTGCTGGACTTTTAAAATGAATATCTAACATTGCTTGTGTATTCATTACTTTCCAACATATTTCACAAAGAACATCTTTAGAATTTGTTGGTAATGATTGTGGATCTTGATATTTTTTCCATGTTTGTAATGTATTCTTATGACTTTTACCATCAAAATGTAATTTTGAACATGGTTCACCGGTAAAAATTTGATTACAAAGTTCACAATAAGGCGGATATTTCCAAGAGATAAAATCAGGATTAGCAACAGCTTCGGCCGATTTTTTTTCCTTGGAGGGCTTAGAGATTGATTCATCAGGTACATTTTGTTCAGAACAGATAGTTGATGTTTCAGATACATTTTGTTCAGGACAGGCAGTTGGTGTTTCAGGTATATTTTGTTCAGAACAGGTAGTTGATGTTTCGGGTATATTTTGTTCTTTTGAAGAACAGACAGTTGATGTTTCAGGTACGTTTTGTTCATTTGTAGGGCAGGTAGCTGATATTTCAGATACATTTTGTTCAGAACAGGTGGTTGATGTTTCGGGTGTATTTTGTTCATTTGAAGAAGAAATAGTTGATGTTTCAGATATGTTTTGTTCATTCGAAGGGCAGGTAGTTGGTATTTCTTCAGTCATTTTGTTTTAATCTTAAAGATAAAAATTGTATTATTAATTTTCTTGTTAGAATTATTTAGCTAGATGAATGTTAAAATGCTGTAAGTTATGGTGTGCTATTGCTTAATCATAATTTTCAGATTTCTGTAATACTTATTCGATGATGAGGAGTTTATACTTTTATTTAAGAGCTTGCTATTGAGTTTTGTTCATTATTCGAAAATAATGAATGAATGAACGATATTTAAAGTTTCTTATCAAATACTATATGAAATGAAAGCCAATGTCAGGATGCAATTAACAATTTAAGATCTCTGATCGAGCTAACTGAACAGACTCAGATATATTATAATCTATCATTTTTACTATGTTGTCAATTCCGCTCGTCTAAATGGTAAAATAAAATATGCTACATATGTTGTACACTTTAACGCATCAGCTGTTCTATATTATATTCTTCAAAAAACAGTTGTTATTGATAATGTATTTTGTATTACATGACTATAAATAAATTTTCTTCAGGCTAACGATATAATAAATAACTCTCAGTTTTTTTTACACTTCTCTTTCAAGTTACAAAGACTAAAAAGTAAGCATTAAACTAATTTTTTATGAAATCTATACAAGCGAAATAATTGATACAGTCTGAATATTAATCCCGCTCAATAGAAAAGATTTTTTAATATAACGTGTCACAGAATATAAATAAATCTAATATTTTTTTATAAACTTACAATTGTTGAGATTGAAAAAGTGTGTTTTCTAATGTTTGTAAATTTGAGACGATTAGTTTGTATATATATAGCATAAAAATCTATTACATTGGGAAAATTCCCAGTGATGAAATGTTTTTATTTGAAAAGTATGTCTGCTCGTATCTGAGAACAACGCAAAAAGAAATGACCTTGAAACGTGCCATAAGGATTTTATTGAAATTAAATGAAAGATCATGCATAGAAAAGTTTCCGTATGATTTTTTTCTTATCCATAATACAAGCATTTGACTAAGAAAAAAAAGCCCTTACTTATTCTTCTAATAATGGTTATAGAAGAAAAACGTGTTCTTGTTTTTTTTTCTTTTCTGATTCGTATTTATTTAATATAAGCGACAAAGAAAGAGAACAACAGAACGACAAAAAATGCTTGTATGTCATTAGAATTTCTTCCTTTATGCACATTACTAGATAGGCTTGCACTAAGGATGAGTCAACATCATAACATTTTCTTTTCACTTCCAAAAAAAGTTAATATTTGATTAGTAAAATAAATCATGTCTTTTTCATTTTCAATAGAATGACAATTCATAATGATTCGTAACTTTTTATGTCTTAAACAAAAACGAACTTTATTTCTTCTGATTATTAGTTTAATTATATTTTTCTTCTATTATAATATTCATCTTAAATCACAACAACAACAACTTTTTATACCTCGCCTTCGTATTAATCATGAAAAACTATTAAATCAAAATTTAACATTTAAAAAAGTATCGATTGCTTATTATACAACATCGTATCTTATACGGACTGATTCTCATACAAAAATTTTTAATAAAAATCTAGAAGAAATATGTGAAATACTTGATCCTGAAGATTATCCATTAGCTGATAGTGTTTTTGTTAATATTGTTGATTTTACTCGATTTCCAAAATCATATCGACATTTACATCAATCACAATTATGGATATTTCATTCAGAAGAATCTCCAAGAAATTCTTATAGAACTGTAAATATGAAGAATATAGTAGAACTTGATGATTGGTTTAATTTAACATCAACATTTCGTCCAGAATCAGATTTTCATATAAAATATCGAGTATGTTATAAAATTACAACTTTTAGTAACTAAAATCAACTACGAAAATATTCACGATTATTTTATTTCTTTAGGGTTATCGTATCAAACCAAACATCGGAAAACTTCTCCAAGTTAAACTTAATATAAATCTCAATCAAACAATTTATTCAACATCAGATATTTTTCACAATACATCTTCCATCTATCTAAATACTTTATCATCTATACTTCATAGAGAATTATTGAATCGACAAAATGTTCTATTAAATATTTGTCCTTATACTTGTAATCAACCGTTACCATCTCATGCAATTCAAGCTCTTCAACCTTATTTAAATGAAATTAAACCGAAAGTTTTAAATCGAAATATTGTTTATATTGCTTGGTTTGTTTCCAATTGTGATACACATTCACGTCGAGAAGATTATGTAAATAAATTACGTTCACAAAAAGGTATTCATATTGATATATATGGTAATTGTAAATCAATGTATCATTCACATATTATACCAATTCAATGTCAGAAAGGTACACCAAATTGTACAGAAAAAACGATATCAAACTATCGATTTTATTTATCATTTGAAAATTCGAAATGTGATACATATATTACGGAAAAATATTGGATACAAGGTACAAATGGTTATGCTATACCAATTGTTTTAGGTGCTAAAAAAGAACAATATGAACGTATAGTAGTACCAAATTCATATATACATGTTGATGATTTTTTAACAGTTGAAGATCTTGCTAATGAACTTCATCGTTTAAATCAAAATGATACTGAATTTATGAAATATCTTCAATGGACACAACTCTATGATGTATCAGTTGATTATTCTCCTGCATCAATTATTGATATGCATTCAACACTTTGTTTTCTTGGACATTATCAATATTTACATTCGATGAAAGAAGAAAATCAACAGATAACATATGGAATGAAAACTATTCGAAATATATTTCATATGACCAATATGCATTTATCAAATTTTAATTGGACAACAGCAAAAACCAATTTAATACGTATTAGTCAATTTTATAATCCGACTGTTAATTGTTGGGATATGGATTACCCATCGATATTAAAACAGATTTATAATCATTTATTTACTTGGTGGAAACTGTTTTGATTATTCTCAAAAAAAAATAGAATAAATAAAGATTTGCTTATGATCAGATTTATATAAGACTTTCTAAACTCAAGATAAGATAACAATCCACTTTAGTTTGAATTTTGTAGTGATCATGTTCTTGACGCTGGTGTCGTTCAAATCAGAATGAAAATTATTGATATTGCCGACACTTTGAGAAAAACTTGATCACAAACAGCACACCAGAGGTGCAGAATCTTCTTAAAAATTTCTCCCTTCCCCCCACGCGGGGGCGCACGAGGAAGATTCTGCACCTCTACAGCACACTTCAGGGTACTAGAAAATTCGACTTAGTTATAGTAATCAAAAATGCCTGAACCATTTTAGTCTGTTTACCTTTGAAAGCTGGCACTTTCTGATTTCTTTTGCGAAACTAAGAAATACTTCTTTAATCTGACCTAGTCGATATACAAAGAAAGAAAACTTAGAATCCTCTATTTTCGAAGCAAACATGAAATTTCAACAGATATTCTTCTACTATATTCTAGGTGTAATCGAAAAATACTTAAAAAATCGATGTAGAATAGATAAATTCATATTCATTAACCATACGGATTATTGGATATCTATCATAATGCAATTTTTTTACATGTTTTTATTCTTTTTTTTATTTCCTTGTTATATATTTTGATGTTACAAAAAAATAAAATAAAGACACAAAAACAATACGATTTGTTGATGTTGTTCCATAGAATTGTTTTCTTTTTGTTGTTGTCGTCGTCGTTGTTGTTTGTTTATTTTTTCTTGGCATCTTTGACAGAAGCTTTCTTTGTACCACGTACTTTTTTCATACGATTTTTACGTTCTTTACGTTGTTTTCTTGCTGTTTTCTTTGGTTCAGCAAGACCTTGACGTGTAAGACGATAACGTGGTTCGAATTTTTTTGCAAAATCAAGTGTATCATAGATAAGTGCAAAACCAGTTGATTTACCTCCACCAAAATTTGTATGAAAACCAAAACAAAAAACAAGATCAGATGTTGTTTTATAAAGTTGAGCAACTTTTTCTCGGATTTCTTTTTTCGAGAGTGATGCACGATCAGAATGAAGTACATCAACTACCATTTGTCGACGACAAAGAAGTCGATTTGATTTAAATTTTCGTGTACGGATTGTACATGAAGAATCCGACATGATTTATACACTAATCTAAAACAAAAATATATATATGTATGTATAGCAAGAAATTTTATTGACGTGAAGCTCGAAATTTAGATAATCGTTTGGGTGGTGGTTCAGTAGTAGTAGTTGTATCTTGTCGTTCTATAGTTTTTCCAGTAAACGCTACTGGTTCAGATTTTTCAGTGAACGCTACTGGTTCAGTAAATACTGCTGGTTCAGTTTTACCAATAGCTCCAGGGTGAGCATAAAGCGCTGGAGATGAATCTCCTATAGGTTCATTATTTGATTTTGTATGATTAATACATATTTTTTTAAATTGTTGGTTAGGAATTTCCTCCTCCTCATCATCATCATCATCACTATCAACTTCCATATGATCATCTTCGAAATGTACATGTTTTTTTTGTGTTTCATTCATTTTCATAGCACGTTCTTGTAAACGACGTCTCTCTTCACGTATTTCATCTTCAGTTAATTTTGCACGTCGATTTAAAGTTTTTTTTTCTTGTTTATTATTCTTATCATCATCATCAGTTTCTTTAATTTCAATAAATTTTGTTTTATCATCAAGAAAATTAGTTGTATATTGTTTTTGTTGATTAAATACTTCTTTTTCTTTCTGATGTTTTTCAATATTTTCATTAATATTTTTTAAACGACGATTAACTATTTCAATCGATTGTTTACATGTACGTTCAACAAAATAATTATCACCCAATAAGACAAGAATTTCATTGGAATGCACTATACGACCAGGTATAAATGCTAATTTACCAAATGGTACCATACATTCATATGTTAAACGATCAGGTAAAGTTGAAAGACGTGTATGTAAATGACGATAATCATTTTGAAATTGTGTCCATTTCGAAATTTGTTGATCAACTTCATTGATATATGATGTTTGTTCAGATAAAAGACGTTCGAATGTTTCCAAAGATTCCGGTTGAAGATCGGACATATTTTTTATTTGGTTGGTAAAGTAATCTAGTAAATATGTTTTCTTTTTTATCAATAGGCTAAATAGTATTTAACCAATCGTAGAAACTGTTCGATAAATTCCTCCGCAAAATAATTGGTCAATCCATGTTTTATTCGAAATCCATTTATTTACTTATTTGTTCTATGTAAAAACGAAATTCAAATATTAAATAATCATTTATATATTGAAATTTTTCTCATGAGTGAAACAACAACAACACCAACAACAACGCCTGTTGTTGTTATTGAACCAATTGAAAATATCGATAATGAAACAATTGAATTAAATCTTAAATATGAAAATTTTAATATTTTGGGTATTCAAACATTAAAATGTTTGGATGCAATGAGAAAAGAACGACAATTATGTGATGTGATTTTAACAGTTGAAGGTCATGAATTATTTGCACATCGTGCTTTATTATCTTGTTATTCAAATTATTTTCTTGAACTTTTTATTAATGATGAAACAAATGCATCATCAAAAAAACAAATCTATTATCAAATTGATGGTCTTGAACATACAGCTTTAAAATTAATTATTCAATTTATTTATCAAGGAAGGTAAGTAAAAGAGATTATTTATCACGATAAAGAAAATAATCAAATATGATATTATTTTTTCTAGTTTTCAATTAACATCAGATATGGTACCAAAAGTTTATCTAGCTGCGCATCAGTTACGTGTTGAAACAATTCTTCAAGCTTGTTCAAATTATCTTACTGAACAACTCACTGCACACACTTGTTTGAGTATGTTATGACTTATGAGAAGAGTTTCTCATCAGATACAAATTTTTTAAAGGTGACTTGAAAAAGAATTTTCATCTCTTACTTAACAAAAAATTAATGCATAGAATTAGAAACTAATTTGCTTTGATTAATATATGAATCATTTTTACTAATACAAAGCTTAGATGTGTCTTATTTTTTTTTTTTGTTGTTGAGATAAGAAATATGTGATAAGGTAGAAAGGTTTACTTATCAGACCTACAACATTTCTTGGATTTATTTTGTTATTAAGAATAGATAGCGAGTCGAGTTCTTTTGATATTTCTATGTACTCAAAAAAACGAAATATTCCAGATTTGTAATACACGTTTATCTATATTAATCTTTGCACTCAATAATATATAGATATGCAAGATTTTCAGATATTTCTTCTTTATCTATCATTCGAATAGGAATGTGAACTCTGTTTCATAGAGACTTGAAAAAAAATCTTCGACTGATAAAAAGAAAGTAATTTAACTTGAATATTCTTTAGTTTTTCTGGATCATCGTTTTGAGAGTATTGTAAAAAAATACGATCGAATGAGTTATCAAACTTTCATCACCTTGTAACCGATAGTATCTTCTTTAACTACTGTTAATTTAAAATTTGACTCCTCCGTGTTGCACTTGTTTTTCAAAACTAGTCATCTCATATTTAATCACTTATGTCACCTACTAAAGATAAATATTTAACTAAAGTAACATCTGTAGTAACTAATTAAATCAATCTCTCGTATAAATATTGAATATAAACTAAAATATATTTTTTAGGTACACGTCTATTAGCCGTGGATGATGATCTTCGCACTAAAGCAACGGAATGTATTCAAAATAATTTTTTTGCTGTTCTTGAAACACGTGAATTTCACGCGTTACCATCTATAAAACTTGAATTAGTTGGTAAGGATAAATAAATAACTTTAATAATTTCATCATATCTAAAATTAGATTTCACAATACCTAGTACAACTATTATGTGTGATCTGATATTGAATTGGATTGTTCAACAACTTCAAAGAGATAAAACTCTTCAAGAAATTGGTGAATATGTATGTAAAATTTCACAAATAAAGGAAATCTAGATTATTTAGAAATACGTTTTTTTGTAATGTTTAGATGCATCTACTGTATATTAATGATGATAAAACTTTTCATGACTGTATGGATATGGAAGAGAAAAATATGAGTTTTTCTGATATGATTAAAGTAATTCGATTCATTTCATATGAGTTTTATTTTTAAATATTTCATATATATAGGATTATCAAAGTTATAAATCAACAAAAAGAACTGCATCAGTATCATCAACATCAAGTAATTCAAATGAAAATTCAATTTTCGAAACCGTATGTCTACAATTAACTAATAATCAGATACCATCATATACACCAAATAATTCTAATACACCTGAAACAAAATTTATTCATATAGCACAATCAACTGGTATATTTTCATAGTTGATTTTAAATATTTATTTTTTGTTTTGATAATTTTATTTTCTTAGAATACAGTTATATTGCTATTGCGATTGTGAAAGGCAAAATGTTAAGTGTTGCAATTCATATACCACCCGTATCATCATCAACTGTTAATACACCTGAAATCGGTGATACTCTTCATACAGATAGAAACGGTGATGACCATTATATGGGAAATGGTATTAGTGGTCCGATATTAACAACAGATAAAGACATTCCATTGGCTTCACTTACAACAGCACGATGTGGTTTTGGTGTTATATCAACTATCGATTCTATATATGCTGTTGGTATGTTTCATTTTAATGAAAATCTATTCTTTTATAAATAAATAAATTTCTTATTTAAGGTGGATATGATCGTGGTGATTGTCTCGATACAATCGAACAATTTGATCCAATTGAAGATAAATGGACTTTATTATCTATTCCAATGATTAGTCGACGTGGTCGAGTATCAGCTGCAATAATCAATAATAAAATTTATGTTTGTGGTGGTAGTGATGGACAAAAAGAATTAAATACAGGTGAATATCTTGATTTACAGTCTATGGATAAATGGGTACCAATAAAAGATCTGGATAGGCCAGTCGCTCATGGAGGTAAAATTTCTTTAATTGATCATATTTTGTTATTTCTATAAAAACATATATATTCTAGCAATGTGTAGTGATAATTCTCAGGTATATTTAATTGGTGGATGCGAAGGTGATACATGTAAAAATAGTTGTTATTGTTATAATCCAGAAACGAATCTTTGGTCAACATTAAATCCTATGAAATCTGAACGAAGTCAAGCAGCTGCTGTATATTTTAATGGTAAAATTTATGTTTTTGGTGGATATACATCAAATCGATGTTTATCATCGTGTGAAATCTTAACTTTATCAACAAATGAATGGTCAAATGGACCAGCAATGCGTGAAAATCGTCGTGGATGTGGTGCTGTTGTATATAACAACCGAATATATATTATTGGTGGTTCAAATGGTGTTACATCATTAACATCAATTGAAATATTTGATCCAAATACAAATGAATTAATGAATAGTATAAATGGAAATTGTAATGAATTAAATATTCCACGTGTTGGAGTTGGAATTACTGTATGTCAAGAAAAACTATATGTTATTGGAGGTTTTGATGGACGAACGTTTCTTAAAACAATTGAAGTTTATGATGAACATAGTCAACGATGGAAATTAAATTATAAGATAAATAATTCAAACTGATATGACAATATAATACGTTTATTTTTGTTATTAGCAATACATTTAGAATTAGTTTATGTTTACAAAAAAAAATCGTTTTCTCGTTTTTTCTTCTTCTTCTTCTTTAAAGTTTATATTTGGTCATTTGGTATTCGGTCTTTATTCTGTTCATGATTCTTTCTCTGTTTTTTTTATATATGCATATGTAAGAAAGATCTAGAGATTTTGTACTGATTTATTCACGCGTTTTTTATGTTAAACAATTGAAATAAAAATGTTTATTTAAAAAAAGAAAGGGAGAGAGACTATTTATTAATGATCATCAAGTTTCATTTCAGTAAGAGTTTCATGAATTTGATTAAGTTCTTGAGTATCTAATCGAAGAATATCTGATTGAAAAAGTAATTGTTGACATATATGTTCGATTTTTTGAATATGATCTTGTGTTGATGTAAGTTGTTGATCACTATTGGCAAATTGTTTTAATGTTGTTGTTAGATGATCATTTGAATGAGAATTTTTTATAATAGATTTAACAAGTGTAGCTAATGCATTTATAGATGATTGTGCTTTTGAACAGATATTTGCTTTAGCATCATCATTTGAAAATGATATAGGCAAACCAGCAACTGGAGTTGTCATTATCTAATTTGTGTATTGATTTATTATTTATTGAATTTGATTATATAGAAAAAACAAAAGGAAATGAATTGGTAAAAATATTATCAAATCATAAAAGATCTAGCAGAAAACATTGAATGATAGCGCCTCTACAGTATGAGAACGAGATTTTAAAAAATCGTAAGTAATGGTTAGGAAATGATATATTTCAAGTATAATTATTTCGTAAAATGTGCTCTAAATTATAAAAACGTGTGAGAAGATGTAGCGTCAAAAGCTCTTCAATCGATAGAGTTAAGTTTATTTCAATGGTATTAACTTTTTTTTATAAATTATAGAGCTTCTGATGCTGTGTCTTGTAGTATACTTTTTTTCAGACAACGTATTAATTAGTGGAAAAATGAGATGCAAAAGTGGGTTGTTTATTATGGGCCACCCATTAATATAGATCAGTGCAGTTATAAATAAGATCAAGAAGTAGAAGCAATTAATAAATTGCTTTACTTTTCATGTACAGAAAATACCCATTTGATGTAACTTTAATACTAAATACGGTTACTGTTAATGATACTACGGTTAGTAGTTCAAATCGAACCTGTTTTTTCGTTTATTTATAATAGAATTTCTGAATAAGATTATCATTAAATACATTCAGTTATAGTACTTTCAGTATTCATTATGATTTTTGCACTGGAATTCTAGTAGTACCGTCTCTGATTATAGATTATCACTTCAATTATAATAATACTTAATGCTCGTTTACTAGAGCTACGAGATGCTATTGAAACATTCGTAGAAATATATACCAGTCGCTTAAACACTGAAATATAAACTAAAAAAAGAATGATATTCTTCTATTGTTTTGTATGCATGTCTTCTTTCGATATTTTATTACTCTAGATAGTTCTTTTCAATCATAATCACTTTTATCACAATTAACTTATTAATATATAATATAGATATTGGTATTGATTGTAATCGAATATATATTTCTCTTTGACAATTCATCGTCATTAAAAGATCTCAACTATATATTTGTATGTTTAGCTGCATGAATAATCATTATCGACAATCTCTGATCTGCTTTAAATGTTAGTCATGTTTATTTTTAGAAATAAAAAAAACATTGATTTCAAATGAATTTCATTATTGTATGACCTATGGAAAGAATTGAAGTGTTTTTGATTAGTAATATGTGACAATAACAATCGATGAACGAAGAACTATTTCTGATGTTGATGAAATGGTAAAGAAAGACTGAATAAACTTGATATATTTGATTAGCTTATTCTTTTTTTCCTCTTTCCTTGCTTCCCCTGTAGAGAGGAAAAAAAAGATGCTAAATATCTAAATCGGATGAAGAAGAAAAAGAGACAGAGAAAAAAAAAGAAGAGAAATGATAGATTAACTTAGAAAAACGAAGGAAAATATGCTAGTCGTCTAGAAATATCAGTTCTAACAACACGAGCATACGTATTATTTGCAGTTAGTCAAAATTAGACAAATTATCTTAGTTATAAAAATCAAAAGGCGTATGTCGAGAATTATATGCTACACTTTTGGTTTATATTGTGGTTATCGATGCCAATAGCCATTACTTAAATCCGTCCGATGCCGTCGTTTATTTTTCGATTATGTTTTCTCATTACCAACATATACGAATTTTGCTTATGATTCAACTAGTTTTTATGTTCATCGTTCGTCGGTAAGTTTATGTATATACATATATATTTTATATAAAGACAAAATCTTTGTTAACCTTGATAGTTATCTCATATTTCATAATCAGTAAAATGTATTGAAGTGCATTTAAATTGATTATTTACAATGTGTTATGTCGAGTTCTTCCTCTCCACCATCACATGCACAATGTTATAGTCAATTAAGAAAGGATTGAATCTGATATGGATAGAAATCTATCAAGTAGTGAAGGAAAAACAGGAAAAGACTAAATTAAATAACCCTTAGGCATTACATGTTTGCTCGCATGATCGAACTATCATTGGATTTAGTCTTCCTTCCTGTATATAATCAGGAAATAATAATACAACTTACTAACGAGTTTTCTCTACTAAAAATAGATCTTTTTTTTTTTCAAAAATTGAATTCTCTAAAATAATGATAACAATTTCAAGAATCTATTCTTTCATTACCGTTGTTCTGCTTTTGTATAGGATGCTTCTAAGTTAAATAGTGAGTAAGATGAAATCAGATTTAACGAAAAGAGGTCAAGATTCGGATAAATGGAAGATTAAGTTATTGATTTGATCTATAGTAAAGAAAAACAATGAAAACCATCTATTTCAATATGAATGATATGATTTATTAAAACTTTAATTTTGGTTTTCTTATGAATAGAAATTGTCAACGAATGACTGCGACTCGTTTAAAAAATGCATCGGTAACTATTGATGATCTACTTAAAGAATATGATATTCGTTTACGTCCCTCATTTGGAAGTAAGACAATTTAAAATCTTTATTCTGATAATATTAATTTATATTTATCCATCATAGGTGAACCACTTTTCTTAGATATTGAAATTCGTTTAGCTAGTTTTGATAGTATATCTGAAGTAAATATGGATTATACATTAACACTTTATTTAAATCAATATTGGCGTGATGAACGTTTAATATTTGGTAATACAAGTGAAGAAATAACTTTAACTGGTGAAATAATCGATAAATTTTGGTTACCCGATACATTTTTTCCTAATGATAAAAGTGCCTATTTACATGATGTAACAGAAAAAAATAAAATGATACGTTTAAGTGGTAATGGAGATATACTTTATGGAATGAGATTTACAAGTACATTAGCATGTATGATGGATTTACGAAGATATCCACTTGATAGACAAAATTGTACTGTTGAAGTTGAATCTTATGGTTATACACAAGCTGATGTTAATATGCGTTGGAAAAGTGGACGTGCATCAATATTAGATCTTGATAAAGTTCAATTATCACAATTTACTATTATGGGTTATGATACAATTTCATATAGCATTTATTTAGCAACGGGTAAAGAAAACCGATTGATTGTTGTTGAGTAGAAATGTAAGGTATTATATTTTCCTTCAGTTAGATTCGTAGATTTTGACTACGATGGAAAAAAAGATGTTTACTATTTTTAAGGCTAACAGGAACTTGTATAAATCTCGACTGAAATCCATTCAGTCAAAAATATTCGAGGTTAATCCTTTCCGGCTGACTATTCGTAAAATGTTGCGATATGACAACATCCGACCGGAAATGATTAACCTGGATCTCCTTGATTATATTTTTCAGGAAATTGTTTAATAACTCAAATTAATTGCAGGTCTAAAAATAGAAATTTGTTTTTTTGTAGGAACTTATCAACGTCTTTCGTTAAGTTTTATTCTTCAACGAAATATCGGTTATTTTTTATTTCAAACTTATCTTCCATCGATTCTTATTGTTATATTATCTTGGGTTAGTTTTTGGATAAATCATGAAGCAACTAGTGCTCGAGTAGCATTAGGTAAAGAAATATATATGTGAAAAGAATTTCTAGCTAATATTTTTAATTTTTCAAGGTATTACTACTGTTTTAACAATGACTACAATATCGACTGGTGTTCGATCATCATTACCTCGTATATCATATGTTAAAGCAATTGATATTTATTTAGTCACATGTTTCGTATTTGTATTTGCTGCTCTTTTGGAATATTCAGCTGTTAATTATCTTTATTGGGGTACAAGAGCTAAAAAACGTAAACATAAAAATCCAGGCGGAAAATCTAAAATAGATATTCATGTAAGTTATTTGTATTATTAAAAGTTCTTTTTTTTTGGTAGTTTTATGATATTATTACTAGAATGATTATGAATTAGATGAAATGGAAATTAATCGTGCTTCACCACTTGTTGGTTTACGTTCAAATACATCTGGTAATCGTCGAAGAATGATAACAACATCATCAACATTTGATGAACATTCTCAAAGTAATCATTCTATAGTTACACAAATTCCACGTCCACGACCAATGGTTAAAGGAAATCCTGCATTAAATCCATCGTCATATAATCGAAATTTACGTCCACGACGAACCCGACGTTTTCTGAATTATCTTCGAACACGTACAAGAAATTTTCGTCATTCAATTCTACATGTCGAAGATGTTAATGATGTAGATAGATGGTCACGTGTTTGTTTTCCAGTTTTATTTTTACTATTTAATGCAGCTTATTGGCCTTATTATATAGTTCGACCACAAACATCTACTTAAGAAAAAAGAGAACTAAATCGAGTGAACATTTAAAAAACTAGTGTTGAGGATAAATGTTAATTATATTTTTTGTATAAATTGATGTCTTGTTTCTTGTATGATAAAAAAAAGTGGACAGAAGTAAAGTTATATTTATCAAAGAAATCTTGCGAGTGTTGTATAAGATTAATTTCATATGCTAAGTCAAAAATGTAAGAGGGAAATAATGGACTTTTTGAACTTCTATCCTTTGCTAATTCAATGAAAGTCCTTAAAAATGACGAGAATCTATGAAGTGCGACAAACATGTTATTATCGATGACAACAGAATATTCCCTATGTGCTTTTTTAAGTTCAAATGATAAACTTGGTATTATGAGAATAAAACTAATTTATATAAATAGTTCATTTATGAACAAAGAAATTCTTTCACGATACTTATTTTGAATGTTTACATTAATGTGCATAATCTAATTTTAAGAATTCAATCATTTACAATTGCTGACCTCTGATGACTGAAAAACTTTGTTTTCTGGAATAATGATTATGCATTCGCTTCTCTTGTTATACACAGAATTGATATGATTCGAAGTGTTTTCTTCATTGAACAAAAATATATCTGATGAGTATTGACCTAAATTGATATACACGAAGCTAAAATTAGCATACAAAATAGCTAACAACAAGTGAATCGGGAAGAAAATCTTTTGATAAATCACAAGTCATTTTCTACAAAGTTCAATAACTTCCAAATAATTCTTGACATGTGACCTAAATATGCCTTTTTAATTTATATGTTATATAGTTATTCAGCCTTTTTGAGATAGTCCATTTTTGTTCCAAATAAATCGCATGTACTTTTATTCAACAAAATTCATTTTGAATGCGATTTTTATTTTCAAGTTTTCACAGGAGATTTCTTTTCTCTTCATTTTCAAACTCTATCAAATCGAAAAGCTAAAAATACTTAATTATTTTCATCAAATAAAAATATTCAGATAGAATCTTATCAAACACAAAGTCTTCTTCTCAAATAATTTCTCTTTAATTTTATTCCTAACTACAAAGTATTTTCTTTTCTCATCTTCCGCAAAATTCAATAAAAGACGAGGAATTTAACGTTTATTTATTGGAATATTTTAATCAAAACTATCAAATTACATTCAATTTTCAAGAAACAAAAATTCTAAAATTTTTTTCTTCGTTCATTAATTCAATACAAAAAAATTTTTCTTTTTTTTAGAATCAAAATTTCACTCACGAAATTTTTTTCAAATTTTTGAATGCGATGATTTGCCAAATCAGCAACATAAAGATTTCCTTCATCATCAAAAGACAAGTCACTGGGATTATTCAATTGATTTGATTGATTTCCTCTTCCATTTCCACCAACAACAATTTCACCTTCTTCTTTTCCTTCACACCAACGAATTACTCGATCATTCCCAAAATCTGCCACATAAATATGACCCAAATCATCAACAATTACTCCTTGTGGATGGTTCAATTGATTGAGATCTTTTCCTTGACCATTTCCTCCAGCCACAATTCTTCCTTCTTTTGCATCTTTTCTCCATTTCATCACGCGATTATTGTTCTCATCTGATACATAAACAGATTGATCTTCATCAACAAAAATAAAAGTAGGCCAATTGAGTTGATTGAGTTGATCTCCTCTTTTATTTCCACCTGCCACTACAATTCCTTCATTGTCATATTCTCCCATTTTCCATCGTCTTACTTCGTTCTTCCCACGATCAGAAACATAAAGAAACCCATTTTTATCCATTGCCAAACCATAACAGACAATATTTTCAATCAGAATTTGTTGATTTTGATTCAGCCAGCGAATCACTCGACTGTTCATACTATCAGCAATGATGATCGAATGGTTTTGTTGATTAATAATCACATCGGTTGGAAAATTCAATTGATCCATTCGATTTCCAAGCCCATTTCCACCTGCGATGATTTGCCCTTCCTTTGCATTATGTTTCCATTTAACAAGACGATTATTTCCAAGATCAGCAATGAAAATATTTTTCTTCTTATCAATAAAGATTCCAAGAGAGTAATTGAGTTGATTTAATTCTTGTCCGTCTCCATTTCCCCCAGCCACAGTAATGGCATTCTGTTTCCATTTGTTGAATTTTGGTTCTAGAAAATGATGAAAAGGAGATGAACAAGAAAAGTTATTTTTAATCAAAGACAAAGAAATGATTAGTTTTTATGAAACGTTGATAACAAATTTTATTTTATTTTTTGTTAAAGTTTGAAAAGAATTTTAATGAAAAAATCTTTTTTGTGGTTTTTTCGAATAAAATTTAGTAAAATGAAATGAAGAAATAGTTTGCGCGTGTGGGTATGAGTATAATGTAAAACCCACCCACATCCTTATTATTTCTGTATATTAAGTACCAGCAAAGATCATGTATTAGCAATATAAAGAGTTCTAAAAATCTTTCTTACCTAGACATTTCTTCGTTTTTGTATCACAATTGTTAGTTGTACAGTGTATGCCTGACTCACAACCTTGCTGAAGTAAACATTTTGACGAGCAAATTGCACCACCGCAATCGACATCTGTCTCATCTTGGTTCTTGACACCATCCGTACAAGTAGGTACTATAAAAACAAAGAAAGATATAATTAAATTTGTGATATTCCAACAATATAAAATGTTTTGCAGTTACTCTAAATACATAACAATATGTCATGCCATAGTTATCATTATAAGTAAAGATCAATGCAAGCTGCAATAATCTCGTTTAAAGCGACAACTCTACTACTCTTAGATTTCTTCGGAAGATTCTCATATGTGATACATGAAGCGAACTAATCTCAAGATTATAACTGTCAGCAAGTAAGGTAAATATTCTGATAGTTTAACGTTCATTCCTTCTATGCTTCTCATTTATATAACAAGTTGTACTTTTTTCTTTATATGTGAAAACTGCGATAATGTTATATTCGATGTCACACCCTTTCATTGTCACTTTCGGGATGCAACGTAACAACGTGCATGTTTTGTCTGGATTCGATTTATGTAATCATTACAAGCAGATCTTTACAGCTCTAAACTATTTGATAATTCCTTTTGCAGGAATAAGATCGCGATAATAAGTGTTAGGTAAAATAAAGCAATAACTTGACTGCTTTCGGGAGAAAAGTAACAAAGCTCTATAATAAAGAAAAGAAAACACGTCATCTTACCACTTTTTCTTTCTTTATTTGCCAGTGTTTTTATGGGTTTGCTACATGCACTGATTGCACTAAGTCCAATTGCAGTTATAGATTGCACTTTGAATACAAATGTCGTGCTTGGTGGTAGATTCGAAATGATTATCTTCTTATGATTAGCATTTGTGTGAACTACAATCCATTTGTCTTCTTTTTTACTTTTATTTTTACCGATTAATGTTTTACCACGATGTTTCTGGTACATAATTTTGTAGCTCTGTACTTCTTCGGTTCCACTAGCTGCATCTACCCATGTTAACGTTACATTAGTGTCTGTAACAGATATCGCATATGGTGCATCTGGTTTACTTGGTATAATAAAGCCTTTTTTTCCTGATCCACGTTCGTAGAGAATAAGCTGAATAGTTTTAGTATCATTAACTGAATATTCTTCATTGACGATAAATTGTATGTTTGTATTTTCAACATTATTTGCTTCTGCAAACTCTTTAAATTGTCGTAAATTTTTGCGAATTTCTGCCATACTACGACTATTTCCAAACCATGTGACATGTTTTTTACGAGTAGTCGATGAGTTAAACTTGCTCTTACCATCTAGATACTTTTGCATATCAGCAAGTTGAGGATCATTTTCTTCAATGAAACGAAACGACAGGCAGAGAATATAATCGTATCTAGTGTCATCAATGACTTCATCTAATGACGATGATTTAATTAGAATATGTAAACTTCTGTCTTTAGCGAGATTTTCGATCCATATCGTCATTAACGCTATTTCTTTTTCCTTTTCTTTGAGCCATGATTCTAATTTTTGCTGATTAAATGGTGATGAATCAACTTTTTTAAACACATTAAATAAAACAGACTCTTCAACACTAGTGTTCCCACGTAGTTTTGGTAGATATAATGCAAGCTTTTCTTTCAAGTCACCTTGTATTTTCGACAATCGCGCGGTAAAATCTGATAATTGTTCTTTCATATGATTAAGCCTTGTAAATATCGAGTTCTCTAATAAATCTAATGCTCTCACTTCCAAAGAACGTAGATTTTCAATAGTCGATATTGAATAGTCAACCAAGTTGGATGAGATTTCTCGAACAATTCTCGTTATATTATTATCCAAAAGATGTAATGGATAGAGCCACACTTTTTTTGGTATGGCGTTTTCATTATTTATACCTAACAATGACGGTAATTGGCGATAAATTGTAACAGCTTCTTCAAAGTTATTTGGATTTTTTTTCAAACGAAAATCGCTATAAAATTTACAGCGCAACTTATCGACGAAGTTCTTTTCTTGCTTCGTCAGATTTAATTTAAATTTCCCTTCGATGTTAAAAACTGGTTTGTCAAATATGGCCTTTAATGAACCGCTCACTGCTTTTTTAGATTCACTATCCGATACTGTGCGATCAAATACAAAAAACGCTTCAGCACCATAAACGACACGAGTGACAACATGTGTAGCAATATCTGTGTCAAGTAAATATGAATGATCTAGATCATCTCTACCAAGATGTTTCATTGTTAACTCTTGAAAATGTGTTGTAGTTGAATATTTTAGTGTCAGGCGAGCTTCATGGTTTGTTTTTTGATAATCCTCAGCATATTTTGCAGAACCTGACATACTCATTCGACCGCCAAGCAGCAGACGTAATTTTAAACTATGAGCGTCAATTCCTAAAGCATGTGCCTTATGTTGCAGTGAATCTTCAGTAATTATTTCATAGCCAGTATATGGTTGTTTATGTGTGGTCGTATGGTTTGCCAAGGTCTGCCAGTCCCACAGAGTTACTCCAGTGATTGACTGATCATTACGAACATCATAGAGCATACCCAAATGAAATGGCCGTCCCAATGTAACCATTGTAATTTCGTGTTCTGTGGCCATTAGTTTCAATGACTGATACGAAATAATCAAAAGTATCAGATGTAAAATAAGCATTGAATTTTAGTGTATCCCTTCTTTATGCAACTAAAATAGAAACAAAAATTACAAAAATGCCATATATGAAAGTATATTTGTTCGTAGTTAGAAGTGATAAAGAATTTCAAAAAGGTTATTCCTTGACCAGACTACGGTGATTTTCCGATCGCTCATCGTATAGGAAATAAGAGATACATTCTATCAAATCTGTATGAGAATGAGCAGATAATTTTATAATTTTTGAGTTATATAATCCCATTCAAAGATTTTAACATTGATTTTGTCATTTGTAGATGCCTGAGCTGACCTACAAATTTGGTAGAGGGTGAGTAGGTGTGGGTGCAGCTGTTACAAAATTCTCGTAATCGCGTCCATCCACACTCATCCTGAAGACGTGATGTCACAGTATAGTACACTGATAAAGCTATTCAAATAACTTTCTAATTCATTGTAGAAATTTGTTTATTCAACGGCTATATAACTCATCTCTTAGTTACATTTCTATTAAACACAAACGTTTTTTGTCTGAATTGCCGGATCTCTGGAAGATAGTGATACTCCATTGCTCTTTGACTAGTTTGTCTAGCTATGAATAGAACCTTGATTTAGAAAAGAGATCAAAGTCTATAGAATATTTTATCAACAACTTCTTTCTAGGATAGTTGCTAGTCATAGTCCAAATAAAATCGAATAATAAAATTTATATGATCCTCTCAAACATGGTTCAAATCTTCTATGTTTTAAAACTTCTTCTTTGACTCTTATGAAATAATTTCTATACCTTCGATTGTGTATGTGTATGTCGTCGTTTTTTTTAAAAGTGAAAGACTAAATGGTAACCATCGTCTCATATACAATCCTTCGTTTTCTTTTTCTTTTAGCTCCAAAATTGGTATCTCTGGATTTTTTCTCCACGTTATGATAGGTATATATTATATTTCATTTATAACAAAGAAGAAGAAGACCTTTTACAAATAGCTCCAATGGATTACAAAAAGTTATCTTTTAACATGTAATATGATACTAATCAAGAAATGAGAAAAGACAAAACACAATTTAAATTTGGAAATCACAAAATTTCAACAACAATTCATCAGAAACTATCCTTATCCAAGATAAATTGGACATACATATAAGATTTGTTACATGAGGTACAGTGGATTTCAACATATTCTAATTGTACTATGTAACGAAAGCTAATGAGAAACTGAAGAAATATGATTACAAGGACTCTTCGTATTGATAAATTGATTCATTAGTATGATTCATATTATAACAATATATGGAACAATATGCAGCACTAAGTTAACATCTAGTTTTGGTCGCCTTCAACTAATTTCAGTATCATACTGTCTTTATAATGTAGGTGTGAATGTGGGTGCGGATTAAAAGAAGATGAATATACCCACACCCGCACTCTCAAGATTTCATACTGTAACGAACATTTATTTTGATATTTGTAATAAAACAAAATAAACATTTTTTTTTCAAATTTCAATATTATACAATACAAGTTTCTATAAACAATCATATTTGAAAAAAATTTAATGTATGAAGCAAAATATTCTCATTATTTTAGACAAATTCTTCCAACAACAGATCAGGTTACAATAAGATTCGGCAGCTATGAAAGTAACGATCTTATTTTTTTCTTCGATTCACACGTTTGACTCTGTATCATAAGAACAAATTCCATACCATCCTATAAAATATACATATTTGATTTTACGATCAAATGACAATATAGATTTTAAGCAAAAATAGATAACAAAGAAAGTTATTTAAGTTTTGTTGATTATTACCGAGGACACAATATTCATGTCTATGATGTACCATTTTATATCATTAAAACAATCTTAACAAGAACGTTGCTTACAGCTGTTATCTTGATATTGTCACTTTCTAGCTGATATCATTCTTTTTTCGTTTTTTTTCTCTTCCAACAAGTAATTACAACATCATGTGAAATCTATGACATAGAACAAATATTCACTCGTTTAATGCAAAGAGAGAGAACAGTATATAGAACTAATATATAAACCTGCACAGCACGCATTTCATCAACAATCTACAATGGCAAATCAAACAGTCGCCAGTTTCGTTACATTACCGGTAGAGCTTGTCTACCGAATTTTAGATCATCAGTCGTATCTTACAATCCTATGCTCCATGGCAAACGTATGCACACGGTTCAACAGCATTCTAGGCAGCTACGATCGATACCAGGTAAACTTTTTTCTATCATAATTACCTAATTTTTATCCATTAACTTTCGAATAAGTTTCATATCTGCAATCTCTAAACAAGTAGAATGACTTCAATATAATATATGTGACCTTTCTCCACAAAAATTCACTTCTTGCCGTATGAGAATATGAAAAATAGCGTCCTGATAATTAGAACAACCAGTTTCTTTTCTTCTTTTTATTCAGTTTTATCTAAATATTCCACGTTTCAAACTAAGTATGTTGTTATAAACATACAGTGTTTAGATAAGAACGAAAAAAAGAGATACAACATTATTATTTGGGTTTTACCTGTATGTATACACCTTTTTTCTAAAATACCATTTCGATAATAAAAATCAGCTTTTGAGAGAAATTCATCTACGAGAAACTAGTTCGTCATGTTATAAATAACCTCTTCAATACTTTTGTGAGAAATACTTCCGATAAATACTCCTTCAAGAGCATGTGCGATTAAAGATTCCGATGGCTGTGAATGCAGAGGAAAATGACTCACAACAACAAACAAATGAATACTACCAAGATGGAATATTTCTTCAAGGAACATACTTCTAAAGCAGCTCTTTTTACCAAAAAACATTGCATCGGAACGGATTTCGTGTGAAGTACGGTTTATTCAGGACGGAATTTTGAGAATAGTTTGACAGCGCTATTTTATTATATAACGTTTAAGCATGCATTCATCTTCTTCACATAATGAGTCTAACATTACAGAATAAGTTATTTGATTTATTTTTCGCTTTTTACAAATCAATGCAGCTTTATGGACGTAACCCAATAGTTGCATCGAAAGCAACTATCGAAATCAATATATATTCTCACTTATATAAATCATATACATCAATAAAACTAAGCTCGATAACTCAAGCAGAGCTCTGATGTAAAACACATATCGAGTCTGAATAATAAATGTAAAGAAAACTGTCCAGTAACTACCGATAAGAAACTATCTTTCGTCATACCTACAGAATACTAACAAGCGCTGCACCATACTTAACTACGCTCTAAACCATTCACTGCAATACATTGTCATTTGGACACACAATACTATTCTTGGCAGTTGTTTCCGCAGAAGCAGCTTACAAACTACTTTTCCCTAACCGATATGTATTTCGTTCTTTCTAAACACTCCCAAACTAAAGCAACACCTAGACAAAACCTTTCTACTTCTAGTTCAGCCTTGGTACTTTATTTTAAGTCTAGATTTTCATAAACTTACTTGCACACTGTGCAGCCTAAAAAGTCGTATGAAAATGCATACTTGTATCTATACGCCCAACAAGCCCATCACAACAGCATTACTTTCACTGTTGTAATTACACGCAATCCTGAATAACTATTCTGTATCTTTATTGGTGCCGTGTCTTTACCTCCACTTTTTCATCTAGACACTCACCACACTCAATCTCAAAAGCAACGGAATTAGTGGTAAAAGGGCACAAGATCTTGCTAATGCTCTACAAATTAACAAAGTAACAAAAATACTTGTCCTTCCTCCTTTTCACTTTACTTCATCATTCACAAACTTTTTAAACAGATAGTCACCACACTAGATCTCGATTCGAATGCAATCGGTGATCAAGGAGCACAATATCTTGCCAATGCTCTAGAAATCAACAAGGTAACAACAATAGTTGTTTTTCCTCTTCCTCTTCACTTCACCTCATCATTCACACACTTTTCACACAGACACTCGCCACACTCGGCCTTAGAAACAATAGAATCGGTGCTAAAGGCGCAGGAGATCTTGCCAATGCTCTGAAAATCAACGAAGTAACAAAAATATTTGTTTTTCTCCCTCTCCTCTTCTCTTCTCTTCACTTCACTTCATCATTCACACACTTTTCGTATAGACACTCACCACACTCAAGCTCGGTACGAATAGAATCGGTGGTGAAGGAGCACAATATCTTGCCAATGCTCTACAAATCAACGAAGTAACAACAATACTTGTCCTTCTTTCTCTTCACGTCACCTCATCATTGACATATTTTTCACACAGACACTGACCACACTCAACCTGGAATTCAATAGAATCGGTTATGATGCAAAGGAATCACTTGGGCAAATATGCGAAAAAAATACAGGACTGAAAATAGCTTTTGATGAAGATGAAGATGACGATGAAGATGAAGATGAAGATGAAGATGAAGATGAACATGACCATGAATATGTTGATGAAGATGAAGATGAAGATGAAGATGAAGATGAACATGACCATGAATATGTTGATGAAGATGAAGATGAAGATGAAGATGGAGATGATTACTACGATAACCACCGTAAACGATAATTCTTTTACTTTTAATGTTTATAAGATTTTTTATTGATTCAACAAATATATGTGAAATCTTGTAGCAATGGAAGTTTTTTCTTGTGTTTATAGTTAGTAGAGACTACAGAACTGTGGAAATTCTTCAGAATGTAGCAAGTAACGCTCGGTCGGATGTCCCATTTTGCTGCGAGTTTACTTGAAACAATGGTTGATGGTTATTTTTTTTATTGTGTAGTAGCAGTTCCTTAACGGGGAGGAATAAAAGAAAAAGGAAATTTATGAAATAATGTGCATATTTTTATCATAGGATTTTATCAAAAAAGGCATTTTTCATTGAGAAACTGATGATGGTTATAGCTAAACGAAGACATGTCCATCTCTATGTTCACCTGGACGCATGTAAGATTGTTTCTGGAGCATTAGTTTCATTTGGAAGTACGAGTAAATATTAGTGAGACGAAGACATTTCGAAACGTGCAAGCTTGCAATATGTTAGTGACAAGTTGCCAGTGTATCGGTGCCTGTTTATTCGAAATAAAGAACTCTCATGCAATATTATATGTATGAAAGATTGATTAGCTATTACAGTTTCTGAAGATTTTAGTATATATACACCTAACTTTTTGAGTAACTGAACTTTTATATCCTTTCGGTATTCTTTGTTTGAATCCATATTATAAGAAAAGTATTATTCTGAGTAAAAATTTAAGCAAACGACGAAAATTCCTCATGCATATAGCGTAAACATAGGCAAATATAAAGTTCTTTTTTTCTAAGAACGGTTTACTTAAAACTAAAAAGAAGAAGCCGAACATTTGGGAATGACAGATATACTCTCTTCATGACATGCAGCTGTTAGTACTATAATCCCAATGAACATGATTTTTATTTTTACCTTAATTAAAACTAAACGTTCAGGTTTCCCATGCAAAGGACTCGAGTGATATTTTAATACACTATTGATTGTTATTCTACAGTTAATGAATTATTTTACTTTACAGTCTTACAAATATCACAGAGCTTCGGTTTTTATAGGCTGAGAAGTATATCGATAAACTGATGTGTTCTGGTTATCTTTTAAACGGATAGTACATGAATACTTTAAATAATTCTCAATTCAATAAAAATTTCAGTTTATTTGATTAAAGTTTAACTGAAGAGGAATCAGTCATATATATATTCATGAATATTTGATTTTATTATGATGCATTTAGAAAGGACTATAAATATTCTGTTACAAGATTGAATGGTGATTTGTTTACTGCACTATCTTGTGTCACGTTGCTTAGTTATGATGAAAAATATCAAAGTCAAAGTGCATTCATATGACTTCTTCTTTCAACAAGAATTTTATTATTTTTAATCAAATAACAAAAAACTAATGTAGTTTGAAACAAAAGTCGATAGGAACATAACATTTATAAGTATTTGAATACCATAATAGGTATACATTCAAGATTGTATTGACAACAACATGATTCAACCTACTTTCCTTATCGACATATACCTCATGACACTAGTCTCTCATAATGAACCATAATTAGATAGTATTATTTTTAGAATATTCATAAAATTTCAGTTCAAATAGATATATTTCTATGGTAGACGAAACTAGTTTTTAAGAGAACACATTTGTATGCACTGAAATTTTGAATATTTTAGTTTTTACAAAAATCCATGTAGTAAATCAAGCATTAAGTAATATGTTTCGATCTCTAAAACTTATGTATCTAGAAATATTCTTCTAAGCCGTATTTTTATGGTAAGGAAAGTACTTAATTTTTTTTCATAAGTTCCTATGTTTTCTAAGATTAACTTTACTTTCAGTATGAATATGTTATATATTCTACACAACTTATAAATCCGCAATAATAAATAAATAAATTCATGTAATTGTCTTAGACAAAAGGACAATTTAATTCATATTTTCGTGAAATTATTTTATTAGATATAGCGTGAAAATCTACAATTTATTTGAATTTTATAATAAGAAAAAGATCTGCTAAAGTATGATTATTACAATAGTAAACGTAATCGTCTGTTTAGTTCTTCTTTGGAGCGGAATCGCCATATAGGTGTGCACTAAATTGTGGAGGGTAACGATCACCTTGAACATCAGCTTTTTC